AATACACCCCCCTCGTCATCCTCCCCCGTCCCCCCGCAGATAAAGAAATCCCATCACCTGCACAATCCCTGGTGATCTAGGGGTTAATTAGTAAGGTCTGGTGCAGACCTTACTAATCCTTCCTTTCGGCCGGAGCTCAGTGCTGTCAGACAAGTGACAGTGGCATCATGATATTTTTGGGCAGCGCATTGTGTGCTATAAGCTGTTTTTAATGACATTTATCCTGAATGTGACAGGTTCCCTTTATTATTTCAAGCAAATTTCCAAGAGGTATCTAAAAGGCTAAAGCATTGCTGCAATTTATGCTGATACTTTAAGATGTAACTTTTTTTTTAACCTTTTATGCCTTACCAAGGCATTTATTGAGTGGCTTGTAAATCTGACTGCTAAGCATGGTTTGTTGTACTCATTATTCTTGCAGAGGACAGACAGCCGCCATCAATTACTGCCAACAAAGGTCTTACCTTGGACGAAAACTCCTGGAAGAAAATCACCACACAGCAACTGTCAGCCACAGATCAGGACAGCAAACCTAGAGAGCTTCTGTTTCACATCACTAGACAGCCTAGTCTGGGCCGCTTGGAGCACGTGGGTTCCCCAGGTATTGTCTCCTTCCCAGGCTAAAGTAGGCACCTACATTACAAAACACATTCTTAAAATGAGTTGTCTTAAATTTTGTACTGGTTTTAGATGCAACTGCATTGTCTGCTGGATGAATGTCTATCTCCATATTTTTGTTTATTTTTTCACTGAGATTCCCATTTACTGTCTAAAATTATTGATTTACTTGGTCTTTGTTGATTTTAAAGGTCAACTTTATCCAAAACTATGGGGTCTATTCACTAAGCTGCCGCAGGCAGCCGAGTGAAAGACCGACCTGAAGTGAAGTGAGCCGAACGCTTTTCGGCTATTCACTTCAGGCTGGTACGGCTGATTTCACCCGTTTATTGACTGAAATCAGCCATACATCGGGTGGCTTCACGTGGCTTCGGGTCGGCTGAACATGCTCACAAAAACTCTCCCGGCGATCCGGGAGTCTCCCGCTCCCGGCCGCCCAGGAGATAAACACTGATTTGCCCATTGGAATGCATTGCTAGATTCCTATTGGCTATTTCAATTTGCAGTAGCCAATAGTAAACTAGCATTGCACCCGCCCTCTGCTGCAGTTCTCCATCAGGTCCATCGGCAGAGGGCGGGTGCAATGCTAGTTTACTATTGGCTATTGCAAATTGTCCAGCCGTAAGATCACGGCTGGCTCCGCCCAGCTGTCAGAATCAGGGTGTCGGCCGGCCGCTCGGCCAGCTTCGGCTTTCAGCGCGGCTCAGCCAAACCGAGGCATATGCCTTCGGCTCGACAGAGCCGCTCGGCTAAGTTCGGGAGCTGTACGGGCTATTGTGACCGAAGGGGTCCTGGGGCCAAAGCTAGCCGGAGCTACGGCTAGATCCTTCGGCTGCTTCGTGAATAGACCCCTATATTTTAGTTTTGGATAATCCGCAGTGGATTAAATGACCTTCAGGTCGGTTATATGTCTGAGAAACTCCAGTATTGTTACTATCTTGCAGAATTTTGTGTCTCCAGCCCATCCCACTTGGCAATAACAAAGGTGCCTCTCAAAGAAAGACATCCAATGATGTGTTCATGCTGTATTATGCAGAATACATCAGGCATACCTTGTCCCCGAGCGGCACCATATCCCATTCTCTGTCCACTCTGTTCAGCTGCAGGAAGTGAAGAACATGTGGGGATATGTAACTCCCTCTCCTTTCTCTCATGTGCTGTCCAATGTTGTCACATAGGGGAAGGGAGAGAGTCCTTAGTCCTGTTTATGCTCTGACAAGAGCAACTTTGAGCTTACATAGGGCCTCCTGTCCCCATGCTTAGTGGCTGAGTAAAGCAGAGGGTTAGAGTAGCGGAAGAGTGAAGGAAAGGTGAGATTCCTTTCAGTAGTGAATACTAATAATGCTAATTATGTTGCTTGACATACTAACGAACTCCATTGGGAGCATTAGTACATCTGTATTTAAAATACAACAAATAAAATGTGGTGCAAAGCAGTTAAAATCAGAACTTGCTTTCAGAGAAGTTCTGCTATAATAAATCCAACGGCCTGCTGTTCGCCCCACAAATGACAGCTGGACGGAGCCATCCGTGACGTCACGGCCGGCTCCGCCCAGTTATTCTTTGGCCGGCACCTGCTAGAAGACTCTAGCCGGTGCCGGCCAATAGGAAACAGTTGGGCGGAACTAGCTGTCATCGCTAGCTCTGCCCATTTTTTTTTCTTCACATTCTTACACTTGTTTTCTGTTCAGTACCTTGGAGTAGAATAGCCGAGCCGAATTCCGCTCAGTGGCATTTGGCTATTCACTCAGTGACGTTCAGCCTCTATGAGAATAGGGGCGAACAGCAGCGAGTGAGCTGCCAAAGCTTCGGCTCAACCGATCCAGATGTTGGATCGGCTGAGTCGAAGTCCCTCTGCACTTCGGCTCAGCCGATGTAAGGCTGAAATCAGCCATACGTTGTTCGGCTCTGTTCACCCCGGCTTGGTCATTCACTCGGCTGCATTCGGCAGCTTTGTGAATAACCCTGTAAGAATTTAGATCAGACATTTCAGGGTTTGAATTTTCCAGGCAGAAAAGTCTGGAAAGCTACATTTGCACTAAGCACAGTCATAGAGGATAATGGCTGCCCTGTGCACACATGACAAATGTAATATTAAATTAAATATTATATACTAGGGTCCAGCTTGCACAGCTGTACAGAGAATGCTCGATATTTGCAAATGTAAACACTGCCCTTCCACTGGCTGGGATGAGTCGATGCATCTAAAGTCTGATTACCTGGGATGTTTGCAAACTTAAACCCTGCCCTTCCACTGGCTGGGATGGGTCAATGCATCTAAGATCTGATTACCTGGTTGTAATATGCACAGGGCTGATTGTATTTTTTCCACAAATATTCTCGGAGCGCCGCACACCGGAGCAGCAGTGACGTGACGCTCGGCGAGGTAAGTAAGAAGACGCGCTGGCGCTGACTCGAGTATAAGCCGAGGGGGGCACTTTTCACCCAAAAAAATGGGCTGAATATCTCGGCTTATACTCGAGTATATACGGTATACAAAGGGGGGCATTTGGCACTTTCTCTGCAATTGGTTAGGTATGTGCCAGGCATGATCATTGCAGATGAAAACAGTAGATCAAGGCAATACAAAAACCAGATTAGGGTGTGTTTGTATGTGTAGCTTTTTCATTTAACCCCTTCGTGACGGGAGACGTACACTGTACGTCCAGCCACAAAGGGACCAAATGACTCGTCACGTACACCGTACGTGACAAGTTATTTGCTGCACTAGAAGGCTGCTAACCGCTGAGAATCAGCGGTTACCTTTCAGTAATGGATGTCTAACTATCTAGAGATCCATTACTGAAAGGGTTAACCTTTTTCAGACACCCGATACCTTAATATCGGGTGTCTGAGAGTCACAGCAAAGCGGTCGGCTTTTGCCGGCATTCTGACAGCTCGTATAGATCGAGAGATATCTCTCTCAAGCTATACTGGCTTTTTTTTTTTTTATCTTTTGACTTTCAAGAATAGATACAAAATGTTATGTATTAGACACATAATGTATCTATTCTTGAAAGTAGAATGTTTAAGTTTTCTGAAACATTCACTGACAGCTGAATCCTGAACTGCTGCAGGATCAGTGTCACTAACTTATTATCGGCTGTTCTGAAGTTTGAAGCAGCCTGATAATAAAAAAAATGTATTAATTTATCAAGCAGTAATAGTGAGATTAATTCACAATGACTGCCTGATATAATTAAATAAATAAAATTTGTCAGTATAAAAAAAGTGAAAAGTGTAAATAAATTAAAAAAAATAGTGAAAAGTGTAAAAAAATTAAAAATAAGGGACAAATAAATGAATGTATGTATTGCATTTTTTTTTAGCTGTGCTGGTTTTGTTAAAAAAAAATACTACAAATCAAAACTGGGAAAAAAAGTTTTTTTTTACGTTTTTTCCTCTTTTTTTAATTTGTATTTGTCCTAAGTGAGGCGTTAGACACACATATGTGATATAAATATATAGCCCTATCTGTCCTCTAAAAAACAATATATAATATGTGTGGGTGCACTTTGTAAGAAAGTATATTACTGACGTGGAAGAATCACACAGCAAAAATGTCAAAAGTGTGTCAGTCATTTACGAACAGAAACCAAAAACAAGCTCAGTCATGAAGGGGTTAAATAGCAAACAATAACATTCCTTGGCTTCTCTTTTGCAGGTATAAAAATTAGCAGCTTCAGCCAGGCGGACCTGGAATCACGAAGCATCCAGTATATTCACACTAGCACCGAGGAGAAACATGCAGATGATTTCACCTTCACTGTCTCAGATGGAGTCAATGAGGTAGAAGCAAGTCTTGCTGTGTTTTATGTTTGTGATATCACACAGGATATGCGAATATTATTCTAGAATCATATTTTGAGACAGATTTCCCTAGGCGCATACATGCACCTCACAGTTTCCATTTTCCTCAGTTTATTTAGCATTCATTTGTGTAGACAGGTTAAGTGGATTCAGCTCATAGTCCTCAATATTTTCATATGCCTTCTGCCTGGCATATTGTTATGCTTCCATACATGAATATTGCAAGATATATTTAAGACAAACGTATAATCTTTCTAGCCTTATAAGAACATTTTTACAGGTACAGTTTAAAGGGTCACTATACATACACTATACACTCCATACCTAGAGGCACCGAAAGATATACTACTTCCCTCCCAACAGCCAAATGCAATGCTGATGAGAGAGCTATTAAAGTAAACCCTGTTGCTTTGCCCTGCTAGTATGGCAGGGTTAATAAACTAAATTATATTTTTATTTGAAGAATGATTATTAATATTTAAGAATATTAAAAAATATAGCAGGGTTGGACAAATGAAAGCAGAATTCGGGAGCCAGATGCGGCAATTTAAAAGCCAGCAGGCTCTTTTAAAGAAAATCTGTGCCGGTAATAAAATATGTAGTCTTCTAATGCTGACTTCTCCTTTTATAACTACTGGTTATATAAATTATTTTCCAAAGCAAGGCAATACAAAACAGGAGCAGCAAGACAGATTAGGAGACCGATCTTTACTCCAAGCTTGATTCATAAATTCCCCCTCTGCTGCTCTGAAGTAGCACTGTGATAATATAAAATCTACCCTGACCTCTTCTTAACTGGATCTGTTTGATCCACAGTGGTAAATTTGTCACATACAGTACCCTTTGCTTAAAGGAGAATTATGAGGCGAATGATTTTCACTCAGCCTCATAATCTGAGCCGACCTGCGACAATGAAACTGTGTGTCAAACTCAAGGCCCAGGGGCCGAATCCGGCCCACCAGGCCATTTCCTAGACTTCTACTTTCAGATCAGTGAGACTGTCACAGGTCAGCTCAGTAGATCGGGAAGTGAGCGAACACATACCATCGCTAGCTCACTTCTCGATCTATCCCTGCAGGGATTCCCCCTCACCGATCCTCCAGCACTGACTGGCGGAACGGACGGGGGAGGGGGCGGGTACAGCTGGCTCTGCCTCTAGATAGGCAGAGCCAGCTATCACTCACACAGCTGGGTGGATCCAGACAACATTGTTGGGATCCGTTCTGGCTGCGGCGTCTCAGTATACCGCGAGCTGTAGCTTTGGCTTGCAGTATACTGAGCTTTGGGTGACGGAAGGACGCTAGTGTGTGTCCTCCCATTACCCTTAGGAGAATTATGGGGAAAAGCCCTGGCCCCATAGTTCTCCTTTAACTGTCTCAATTGGCTTCCCAGGAATTCATGTGCAGGGTTGCAAATACACGAAAACTGTTGGATATACTTTGCTAACTGAGAGGCAACTTGATTTGCATTAGATGTTCATAAGTTTGATGCTAAAGGGCAGGAAATACAGAACTTTACCAGCACACCTCGGTATAGTTATAATCTTGTCCTTTATTTAAATAAAGCAACAGACATCCGTTTGTGTAAATAAAGGACAAGATTATCACTATACCAAGATGTGCTGATGAAGATTTGTTGAAGCACCCTGCATAAACTGTGGGCAAGTCTCTAAGGCACATGTGTCAAACTCAAGGCCCAGGGGACGAATCCGGCCCACCAGGCCATTTCCTAGACTTCTACTTTCAGATCTAGGTATTAAGTTATTACTAAAACCAGTGATAATCGAATGCAGAGGCAATTATGATAAAGATTAAATACATTATATAGTCTTACAGATACCTTTAAGAGCAACCTTAATGTTGATGCGGCCCACGATTAAATTGAGTTTGACACCCCTGCTAAGGTGTATGATAGATAAAGTATGAGCTTCTCTGATGCTATTTTGAGTGATTGATGTCCCTGTAAGTATTTTTCTAAAGCCTATTGGCTGCTTTTGATAAGGTGGACCCTTATGACCAGACTGAGACTTTCTGGGTTCTTATTTTTTTTTTTCCAGGTGTCACAAACATTTTACATCACCATCAATAAAGTAGATGACTCATTGCCTGTAGTCCAGAATTCAGGAATGAGGGTACAAGAGGGCGTCCGGAAGACTATCACAGAGTTTGAGTTGAAAGCCGTTGATGCTGATACTGAGGTATGAGAATATTGACTGCTATAAGTATAACTTGTGACATTTTAGGCATTAGCTGCTTCAGATATTGTATAGTTTTAATATGTAAACCATTATTGAAGACTGACACAATCATTTTTATCTGTTTTACAATGATTTGTAACAATAATTTGGTTCTCCCTTATCAACCTTGCCAGCAACAACAGACTTAATGGAAACTATCTTGTGTAGTATTGAACAATCTATTAAAGGATAAGAAAACAGAACAGCAGTGAGCTAGAACAGCAGGGAAAAAGTGGATGTGTTGCCTGCAGTGACCAATCAGGGAGTTTTTTTTTCACATCCACATTATAATTGACAGCTTGAATCTGACAAGTCATTATGGGCAAACTTTCCATTGCTCTCTTTATATATAACAGAGATGGCAGTAACAGCCTCGCTTTTGGGACAAACAGAACCTTTGTGCAGTATTTTGGTATTGTAAGGTAAATAGGACTGTCTAAATACTGGCCTGACTTTAATGTTCCTGGCTTGACACCAAAGTAGAAGTCATTGTATATTAGGATTGTAGCACTGGAGGTCTCAAGTATTGGAAAAAAAGCCACTAGATTTTTCTTTCACCCTTCTTAACCAGCTACATGCACGTAACAAACTGCAAAAAAATAATTTAACAAAACTAGAAAATATGTTCACTCATGGGTATGGGTAATATTGAAATGGTCATATTAATGAGAAGTTCCCCGTTATCTAGCAGCTGCCCATTCATAAAACAGTGTAAAGGCAGCACTTGGAAAATAGTAAACTGTTGTTTGGGAACTAATGCCTTATTACATCTCTGATTTTACTAAACTGAACTGTTTCATCATGCAACAGATTTAAGTGCACCACTTTTCCCTAAAGACTGGCTTCACGCTATGTTTTATGAAAGGGAAGCTCATGGATTATGGGTTGAATTTCAGTGAATAACTGTTAGAGAATACTGTAGCTGTAATATTTCCTTTTGGTTAACAATGTAATGCTGAATGATAGGGGTTGTAAAGTGCGGCCCAATATCCATTCAGGGAAAGTGGAGGTGTTGTTGGATCAACAGAAATGTGGCAGGTATGTATTCATTTTGAAGTGGAAGACTGTCAGCTGCAGAGGGGACAGTGAAAGAGGCACAAAGGACAGTAATGTAGTAGCAGGTTATTCCAGGACAATAAAGGTGATGTCACTATTAACATGAAGTGAAGCTAAAGCTGATGGTTGAAGAGTGTATTACATGGGAGTGTAAGTGGCTGCAGGAACACGCCAGTGAGGTACTGTAGGTGAGGCAGCCTGTTATATTTAGTGTATAATACAAACCTGGGACAGTGCAGTTTATATGGATGTTTTTGTAGGAGTTGTAGAGACAGGAGTTAACAAATATCATTATGAGGATAGTATAGTTGTGAGCAGAAAATGTGAGTAACGGCTGCAAATGTTACTATCTAGGTTTAATACTATATATAGAGCACGTGTTTTTTTATTGTTGTTTCATAGGTTGTTTTGTTTAACCAAAATAGATGGAAAAAAGGATATGTGTAGTTGTCCATAGTAACCAATTAGGTCTTTGCAAACTTAGTAAACATTTCTAGAAATGTGACTTCTGGAGTCTGACTTTTTTGCTTAATGTACCTTCACATTTTTTTCAGTACAGTCTGTATCCATTACCTCGTTATTCTATGTACAGTAGTCTCTTATCAGATTCATAGCAGTCTATATACTGTATATTTTCATTTTAGACTTTGTTGAATGTCAACGCTAGTAAAGGAGAGATGAGACAAGAATGCCCCAAACAAACGTAGGTGTGAGACAGCAGAGGCGCCCAGGTGGAAGAAATTAAATGATCATGTTTCTTCAATTTAGACTATTGTTCCATGAAACCTACACATAACTATCAGTCTCAACATGTTTTGTGGCTCTAAGATGGTTACTTGTTCAGGAGGGTGTGATGAGACACTTTAAGAAGAGTATTAGCGTCTCCCGGCGTGAGACAGTATAGCTAGTGATGTTTAAGTGCTTGGTCTCATAGCATAACCATATCTACCTCAGTTTTCGATAAGTGCTCCTGTTATTCCTTAACAGGCAGAATCAGTCATATTCACCATTGTCCAGCCACCTCGATATGGTGTGATTGAACGAAGCACCAATGGACAGAGCTACCGCAAGGCCTCCACTTTCACAATGGATGACATTTATCAGAATCGTATCAGTTACAACCATGATGGAAGTAATACTCTTAAGGACAGATTCTCTTTTACTGTGTCGGATGGAACCAACCCATTCTTCATTGTAGAGGAGGGAGGAAAGGAAGTAAGTAACTGGAATTAACTATTAATATGGGGAAAATTGTCTGTAGTTTTTATTAGTATTCCTATATACCAATATGCTTTAAGATTATACGCCACGCAAGTCACAGTTGTCATAGGTTATTATTTTGTGTGAGAATAGAATTATAATGATACAGAAAGAAAAAAAAAACACGAAAAAGCAATAAAAACATTCCACCTATTTTACTGTTATTGACCTTTTGGAAATGAAAGTACTTTGTCATTCTAGATTGCTTTTATCTATAGATGTATGCACATAATATTATTTTATTGTTTAACCTACTGTTGTTTTATTGTTTATTTTATTGTTTAACCTACTGTTATGCTGTTTATTCTTCATGGCTGCATCCATGCTTTGCCTTCAAATACAAAAACAATAAAAAGTGTTCATTTATGGTTTCAGATAGTAACAGCAGCTCCTCAGAGATTTAAAGTTGATATCCTCCCCGTGGATGATGGGACACCTAGAATTGTCACCAATCTGGGTCTCCAGTGGCTGGAGTACATGGATGGCAAGGTACTAACATTTATAGATATATTTATGGAAATCATGTTTGGTATGGGATTAGGACTCTTGTTCTGGGATTCATTTTTCCAATAGGCCTATGTGCCTTGGGTTTGTATGTCTCATTGGTGTGGGTGTCTTCCAGGTGTTCATTATCTGTCTTAAGGTGCCCATACACTGTACGATTATTGTACGATAATCGCGGGAAATCCCGCGATCGTACGATAATAGCAAAGTGTATGGAAGGTGTGGGACCGATCGCACGTCTTCCGTCGAACTAGTACGCTGGAAAACGTTAGTGGCGTGCTCGTTTGACAACTGCGGAGCGGGCCGGTGTGCGCGCACACACACTGCCCATTCAGCATTTCAGTCATCGTAAGCCCGCCCCTCAGCGGGGCAGGCTTTTGATGATCGCAAGTACGATCTGCCTGTCCAAGATGAGCAGATTGTACAAGCTTTTAATTAGCTTACAACCATCGCAAAACAAAAGTGTTGCGATGGTTGTAAGGTGTATGGGCACCTTTACAAGTATTAGATTATACATTTGGAAGAAGAGACGGATGCGTATGGTTCTGTATAGTCTGTAAAGTGTAATATATAGCATTTAGAAAAATAGTAGATGAGCATTTGCCTTTGTGCCTTATGATTTCTTCTTACAAACATGGTTACTTCTTTTCATATGTAAGTTATACATGCACTCAGCTGTGTTGTTCTCAGTAATCTTGCACTGTGTTCAGCTGCGTAAAATCAAAGTAGAGAATTTTGTGTTTGTACTCATGTACTCATGTAAACACATGTACGTAGGTACATGGCCTTACAGAACAAGACTTTGTTTATGGATGCAAACATTTTACAGACCTTTCCGCATCTAAACACGTGTAATTGGAAGCTCTTGAAGTGCTCTTAGATGCATAGATGAGTAAAAATGTATATGACTAAAATTTATTTTCTGACAAAGCGGCAGATGCTGCAGTACATGTAGAGTCCTTGTCTATCGGTCATACTCTATACCTTTTGCATATTGGCAAGACCTTGGGGTTAGCACCACCATTCTTACGCATATGGTTGTATAACTCAGGTTATATTTCATGCTTGGAGAAATAGGGGCTCACAGCACATATTTATTTATATATTTTAGATTTATCTGGTATTTATGTATTTGGCATTGAGTGTTTTGTTGACTTTCGTGCTGGATCACATTTGCATGGTGCTCTTATTGAGATTCTTTCTTTGCTAATGCAGTGATCTTATTGGATATTGGAGGATTGTGCTTTTCATGGGGGCATGTTAAATGTTTTTATTTTAGTGTGAATGTGTGGAGGAAATCTTATTCATCATCATCAGCTGTGATGATGTTATTGTGGTCAGCATGAGAGGCAGCATACCATAACGGTCACAGTTAGTACCTTGTAGTATTTGTGCTCACGAGATGTCAACCTTCTTAAGATAGGTCTGTGAAGGTTCGTATAGTCAGAAGATGACTGTCCTGATGATTGCAATATCAAGGTGTGATCCCAAACTGAAGATCACTATGCATAAACTTATCATTGTCTGTCTAATAAACATGGGTTTCGGTGTTGTTTTTCTTACACAGGCTTCTAATTATATTACAAAGAAGGAATTGATGACAATAGATCCAGACACAGATGACAAACAACTTATTTATGACATTTTAAGTGGACCTACCCATGGATATTTGGAGAACAAGCTAAAGCCTGGTGCTACCCTCTCATCCTTTACACAAGGTATTATATGTTAAAGGTACACCATAGTGTACTGTGACAAAATCTTTGCGCTAATGATACAAAATGTATCTAAAATAATTTGTTTGATATGCATTTTTGGGCTTTTAAATTCTCACTATACTTTACTTTTATTAAAGAAGAACTTTAGAAGAAGGCCAAACCTTTTCTCAACCTTTGCAGTGGGCTACCCCTGTACTGCAAGGATTAAGTGCTTGTTTACTGTATGTTTAGGTGCAAAAATAAAAAAAGTTATAGTCACATGAACCACGCAGCCAGTTGACAAATAATTCCTTCCAGCCTTCACCTCCCCCACTGCAGTGATGGTATGTCCTTTTGTGTCCTCATGTCCTATATGCAATGTATAAGACATGATGACTCACAGACCTTAGACCACTGCAGCAGAGGGCAAGAGAGGCTCCAGTAACTGGTCTAACAATAAGGCTCCGAGGATCGGTTGGGAATTATGCGGTTATGTGAGTTCTGCTTTAATGCACTTCATATCTAGGTATAGCTTATGTAATACAGGCTTTGTCTGTAGTGCTGTTTATTGTCAGACTAGACAGACTTCCATAGGGAGAAATAACAGTAAAGCAGCAATCACTGTGTTGCACTGCTAACCAGAAAGCATATCCTGAATTTATAGTAAACAAATATTGCTGCCTCCATACACTATGCACGTAAATATTTGTTTGAAACATTTTTACTTCTAGTATTAAGATTGTGAATTAAAGGCTGTTACACACATCTGAGAATATAGTTGCATTTATGATTTGATTAGAATTTGCCCATGTATTTTCTTTTTTATATATTTATTTATAAATGGTGTGATATGTTTATGGTGTTTACCATGCTATTTATACATAGTCTTCTGTTTTCTAAAAATGCTAAAATTATTGACTATGGATCATTTGAAATGTTATTTTTTGTTTCCTTTTAGAGGAAATAAACCTTGGCTTGATCCGTTATATTCTGCATGAAGAGAAGTACAAGGAAACCATGGATAATTTCAAGTTTCTTGTGAAGGACAGTAAACCAAATGTGGTCAGTGACAATATGTTCCACATCCAGTGGTCTCTGATAAGCTTCAGTCATATAAGGTATGCCTGTTCCTGGACCCGACTGTTTTCAAAATTTGGCTGCTTTTCACCACTACACATGTTATAATAGAATTCAGTTTGACTGTTTTCTACACTTTTTAAAAGTTAAAACTAGTAAAACACGTTGTTATTGATCAGTAAACAAATAGTTTACAAAGTTACAAATAGAAATATGTGTACCTGTGCTCATGTAATTTCTCTGTTTACTTCCCAGTGGCTAAGTCCCGTAGGGGTTGATCAGATTTAATCTTATGCCTGTGAGGCCAAAATTGTTACACACTGGATACCAGGTCAAGTCAGTTGGACTGGGGAGGCTTTTTGGTAATAGGCTTTGTATTTTGTAACCCACCTAGTTGTTTGGGAGCAGGTTTTGGAAAGAAATCAATAATTATGATGCTTTTTAGATTTTTATTACACAAGGTCTGCCCCTATACATACATGCAGTGATTGTTCACAATACTAAATATTTTGATGCAATCTTGGGAAACACTCATTATTTTTGGATCTCATCGGACCTTTCAGTAATTCAGCGCTGTCTGGCTCCGTGGTCGCTGGGCCCCCCTCTTCTTCCGTCCCCGGGCCCCACCTCTTTCAATGGACGGGCCCGCCTCCTTTTACATCACTGGCCTCACCTGCTCTTAGGTCGCTGGCCAGTGATGTAAGAGGAGGCGGGGTTGCTCTTAGGCGCCTCCTCCACTGCGGCGGTCCGAGAACTCGACGAGTTCGAACTCTCGATCGAACACCGGTGAAACCGGCCTTTTCTGCCGCAGCTGCTGGCTGTCACTGCCACAGCAGCTGCAGAGCTGTGTCAGTGACGGCCAGCACACTGATATGCCATAGCGACTCAGGCGGCCCACACGCATCAGAGGGATGCCCTGGCCGGGCCCCCCTGTGGCCGGGCCCCAGAGCGGCCACAGGGGGGTTGTTACGCCACTGATATACATACATACACACACAAGTATTTGCAAACACAGCCAAGAACTACACAGGCACCAGGATTTAAATGACTGTGTCATATTTGAGCCAGCAACTTAAACCGGGAGGTAGTTGCTGACCCTGGGTGATCCCTGAACAAAGATGGCTCTGTCTTTCAGGAGAGAAGTCAGTTGAAGGCATTGTCATGGGTAGTAATGTGATCTCTGTGAGTGTTATCAAATATCTGGAAGTGTCACACTTACATGTTGTTTAGTATATTTACTTAAAGTGTATGTTAAGCCAAAACCCTTTTTTCTAATTTTGAATGGAGTGGAGAAGGATTACAACTCATGTCAAGTTTTTTTTTTCTTCTGTCTGTTAGAGCTCTGTTAGATCTGTGACTCACTTCCTGTCCTGCTGACAATGATTTCACCAGAGGAAGTGAGGCGAAATCTGCAACAGGGACAAAGAGAAAAATAAAAACAAGGGTTCTAGCCCTCCCTTACTCCACTAAAGAAAAGCATTTTTATTTCTGTCGCTAATGCTGATGGAGAGTTATTTTCACTCTCTGTCTGATGAAAAGTTTTTAACAAAACATAAAGTGAGGGTAAATCTGTCTACCTGAGCCCCAGATAGCAGTAAAACTTGTTGGGCGTTCTAAATCTTCCTACTCCATTCAATATTAAGAATACAATTCTGGCTGGACATACAACTTTAAAGTGGAACTATACTCAATTCCCCTCTAGCGATGTGAGCTCTGCTAGCTTCAAGGTCAGTGCCAACGTCTTTCCTGTCTGTCTTTTCTTCTTCCGTGTTCGGGATCTTTGGCCATCTTGATTGATTGTGCCGGGATGATGCTACTCCCGCACATGTGCAGGAGTTTGTTTATCCCAGCATACACTGAAATTGTACTGTACACTGAGGAAAAGACAGGTAAGAGTCATTTTTTTGCAGAAGAGACATAGTATGTTTTTTTGTAAAATTAAAAGCCTGCCTGGTTACTTAAATTTATACTTTATCAAGGAAAATATATCTGATTCTAGATCTTTAAGTATGATGCACAGCTCACTCCTCTCTATTCTATCACCACATTCTAGAAAGGAGATGGTCTTTTGATTGGCAGCACTTTTCTCACTGTCTTTGCACTTTCCCAACACAAAACAAGTCTCCCCATCCAGTTCTAATGCCTGCGCTGATTCCTGTGAGAGCGCTCCCTCTACATTCCTGTGACCTCACTTGTGTCTGGAAAGTGCAGAGACAGTGAGATAAGGGCTGCCAATCAAGAGGCCGTCTCCTATGTAGAACGTGGCCATGAATGAAGAGGGGGGAGCTGTCGAAGTCTGTATCACAGTTTCAACTGCACACATGAACATGAGATAAAAATCAACATACACTGTGGGAGTTCGGTGACTGAGCTGTGAAAAGTAATACAAGGTGAGACTTCTTCTTTGAGTGAAGACGAGATATCTGGAGGTTCTATGCTGTCCTATTCCCCTGTGACTGGTCAGTTTTAGAAGTACACTACAGACACCCAATGAGGAGACAGAATGAAAGATAAATTGTAATCAAAAACAGAAGCGTTTGTAAACCATGCACTGCTTTTGCATGAAATATTTTCATACTTCTCACATATTTATTAGACAATGAGAGATACATAATGCAGTAATGCCCACAGTTGTTATGCAGCACCGTTCTTCACCTCACCTTCTTGCGTGTTTCTCTTCTGATAAAACCAGCTTGTTAGGAATCACAATATGTGTTTCTGATGCTTGAATCAGTCATTTGTCAAGGAGATAAGACAGAATGCAGAGAACAAAGTAACAATTTAATAGAGATGTCTGCTTTAACCTTTAGTTAGAAGGCACTCGAATAAGTTTGAAAGAAAACAGTTCATTGACTCAGGTGTGCCTTTATTTGCGCTTACCTGACCTCTCTGTATTGTATTTTCTGTGTCTCCAGTAATCCATATGTACACTCTCGCATGGACCCTTTTTACTTTCTTTGTATTCTAACCCCTATTTGATTTTTCAAAAAAAATCAATTGTGTTAAAAAACATCGAAAGGTTACCCCTTATCTTTATATGCCTTACAGTCTATAACATGAAATACTTCTTTAGAGTGGTATGAGAAAAGGAATAATAGTAAAGGACTTATTCATTTTAAATATTTGGAGTGCTGGTGACCTATTCTTCCAGCTATAGAGGAATACATCAGATCCTCTGATTATAGTATAATGTACTATTGCTGCGATTTGCTGAATTCCTCTATAGCTGCTGGTATTCTGCACGGTGCCGCTTTATAATGTACTATATTGCACACCACACTTTTTTTTTTTACTTCCACCGCTCCAAGCTTGCTCCCGTGATGGACTACAATCTCAATACAAACTAGTAGTCCATCACTGGAGACTTTTTTTTTTTAATCCGATTAATCGATTAATCGAACTTAATAATCGGCTAACTAATCGATTATGAAAATAATCGTTAGCTGCAGCTCTAATAGAGTTATAACATGGGAGTGTAAGATTTAGCATAGTGTCATAGCTATGTGGACCTAGATGACATAATTGTGCAATGTGCATTCATACTAGCAGCTTCCATATTAGGGATTAGGAATCCGATGTTATACATCTGCCTGTTTACTTAGCCTCATTGATATACATTATGCAGTAAATCAAGCAAATAAGGCTCAGGCCACCAGGGCCACATGTCTAAAATATATTGAAATCATATGTTCTCATGTGCATATGCATTTGTGATGGCCTTTTTTTAATCTGATTTTACATTCCTAAATTGTGCAGCTGATTGACAAATAGTTTCTGATAGTACACATAAATTATTTTCTTTTATGCATGCTTTCTTAGTACCTACAGTCATATGAAAAAGTATGTACAGTACATCCCAGTTGTTGACTTTTTCAACTTTGAAACATTTGAACAGGCAAACATTAGATCTTGATTCGAAAAGTGACTACAGATAAAGGTGATACACTTGAACAAATGACACATAAAATTGACGTGGTGTAGTCTTTTTCATGATATAATTTAGCAAAACTGCATATTTGTCTTATGAAAAAAGCAAGTACACCCCTATATTTACCACAAAACTAGAATCCAGTGTTCCAGATTAGGTGCCAGTGCTTACAACCTCCTTAGGGAGTGTGAAGGTATAACCCGTCTCATTTAAACCTCAGGTATTTAGGATCTGGTGTTCTCTTTGCAATAGACATGTGTGGTATCAATACACAAAGTTTAATAGAGCCCTCTAAGACCCACAGAAAGATGTTGTGAATACCAATGAGTGTGGCAAGGGATTTTAAAAGATCAGCAATTGATTTGAAATTAATCATTCCACTGTAAGAAAAATAATCTACAAATGGCATACATTTCAAACTGCTGGAAATTTGTCACAACTGGCTGACCCAGCAAATTCAACAGAATATGTTTGATGCTTAAAGCAACACAAAACGCTCCGCTTTTTTCTCCTTATACACATCTACACATTGCACTTTCTCCAAAGCCACATTTATTTATGTTTTAAAATAAAGTCTTACTCTTTTAATCCCTTTAGAAAGTCTGCTGTGTTCGCTCCTGTTGCTCTTCTCTCCCCACACACTTCCTGTCCCTGAGCAACAGCCTTGCATATTGATTCTGGTCACGTGCACATCTTTCTTTGCCTACAACTTCCATGAGGCAGAGAGGAATCATCTCTCATTGCACACAACTGCCTCCTCCTCCCTCCCCTCACTATACACACTGTGACAGTGTGTCAGGGTACCTTGCACAAGCGTCCTCATACCACATGTAGGTACCAACGCAGGATGACCAAATGAATATGTCCACACTGGATAGGGTTATATGCACACAGTTTATTTGTTACAAAGCAAACAGAACTACAAACCCACTCAACCCCCCACACCCATGGTTGGGACAAACACACCTACAGCCAGGGGAACAGCAACAAGGAGGGGTAACAGGACTGGTCAGGTACAAGCCGGGTCGTTAACAGGAGGGCAGCGCGGTACAGGAACAGGATTCAAGGAGAGTGGTCGGGTAACAAGGCGGGTCGTTAACAGGAGGGCAGTGCGGTACAGGAACAGGATTTAAGTAGAGTGGTCGGTTAACAAGCCGGGTCGTTAACAGGTTTGCAGATAGGAAGCAGGGTTCAGGAAGCAGGGTTCAGGTTCCAAGGCACAGGACATGGGAGTCAGACAGGTGCAGGCGACGCAATACTGAGCCACCTTCCTGACTGCAGGGAGGGGCTAATTACCCTCACAGGAAGCACCAGGTGATGGGATGATCAGTCACAGCCTGGGCACACCCGCAGGTGAGTACTGGAGCTGCAGGTTTCCAGCACAACCCAGTGGTGGTCTGGTACCTGGCAGTTCCTGGCTGCTGGAGACACCCGCAGACGAGCACAGGAACTGCAGGACCTCGCTCCAGCGCCACCTGGGGGTGGTCTGGATCCTGACACAGTGTGACTGCTTGTAATCTCCTCTGCAATGCTCTGAATTACCAAAACTACTTACAACAGCTTTACAACAAATCTACAACAAACCTCAAGTTTCCAACAATCTACTCAGAAAAACATTTAAAATGTAGGAGCCGCATCCTATGTGACTGTGTGACCAGATCCAGCATGTGAGCTGCGACTCAGAAGAAAGTATGAGGCTGGTGACTGCTCACATTCTGAATCTTCTCACAAGCAGCTCACCCCACACTCTCTCTTTGGTAAGCCAGAAGGAGAGAAATCAAAGATCATATATTAGTGTGGGAGAGCTGAAGAAATCCCAGCTTCTTGCAGAGTCCAGAGGGGAGGATTTGTGGGTGGAGACTGAGAAGACACGCCCTCAGCATGTAGTAGTCCTTCACATGAACCACCACAGAGGGTGGCTACTTTTCAGCTCCCGTAGGGATTATGGAGAAGAAAAGTAGCCACCTTCTGGCAGCAACTTGTGGCTGGAGAAAAATAAAATGGTTTTGGTGCATTAAGAGCTGAACAATGACAAAAAAAGGTACACAGTCATTGATTATTTATATAATAGAAGTTATTTTTATAATTTAATTTTTGAGTTTAGTTTCGTTTTAAAAAAACCCAAATTTAATTGTAGAGTGTTCAGGTGAAAGTGCATGCATGTAAAATATAAATGCGATTGTTCCAATTCAACCTGCGTGAGAGGTGTGTTAAGAAAAGCCTTTGCTGTCCAAAAAGGCATGGTGGTGAAAATGGTTTTAGGACTGGGAAGCTCACGGTCATCAAGGCAGCTTTACATTGTGCATTATATTAAAGTTGCTTGATGTGAAGCCATCTGTCCAAAAGTAGAAGTTGAACCAGAAATCAGTCTTTCAACACAATAATGATCTGAAGCCAATCCACCAAGGAATGGCTCAAACATTAGAAATAGAGTGTTAAATACTGCCATAGTCAAAGCTCTAATTTGATTCCCATTGAAATTTTGTAGAGGGGTTTTGCAATGCATGCCAGGAAACCAACTGAAATAAATGTGCATGGAAAAGTGGTCAAAAGTTTCACTGAGTAGATGTCAGAGGCTGGTGAGCAGTTACACAAAATACTGAGAAGAAGTAATTTTTGTTAAAAGAGAATACCAGCTTTGAATCCAAGGGTATACACTGAGTGACCAGATTATTATGACCACCCCATCAGTACTTCGTTGGGCCACGAGATGACTCCACGAGATGACTTCGTTGGGCCGCCTCGTGACTCCACGAGATGTTGAAAGGTGATGCGAGGAATCTGACACTGCACTGTTGCCCTTCTGTTGTCTTGTACCAGTCTTGCCACTCTCCGTTCTGCCCTAACATTGACTAGTCGCTGACGGCCACAATTCGCACGTTCAGACCCAGAATTTCGGCTGACAGTCCAGTCTTTAAACACTTTAACAACAGCTGCTTATGAACATTTAACGAATTCTGCTGTTTTGCTGATACTCGCTCCATGGCTTGAGCGCCAACAATCATCCCACGTTCAAAGGCTGTTAAATCGCGTTGTTTACCCATATCTTCAGAAAAAAATCACTTCTACTGTCGTGATAAACAACCTGCTTCCCTATTTATAATGGTCTGGCCCTCTATCAACTTCATCGCGAAATAATAGCTAATTATAGCTAATTTTTCCTACAAACGTCAGGTGGTCATAATAATCTGGCCACTCAGTGTAGTTACAATATCCACAGTACACCATTATATCTTTTATTATTATTCTTGAATAAATCATTTAAAGGCAACTTTTTCTTGTGTTTTTATTTAAAATGTTCACCTTTATCGGTAGGCATTGTTTGAAAAAAGATGTCACGCGTGCATGTTCAAATATGCTGAACAAGTCAACAATTTTTATGGGCTGTACTTAATTGTTTGTGTGTATAGAGTTACCATCTTTCTTTATAGTATAGTAAAAAGTAACACTTCAAAGTCTTTGTGTGAACACAGAGGTTTCTTTCTATTAACAGTTACAACGTGAGTGAAAAGGCGGGATCCATCAGTGTGACTGTAAAGAGGACTGGGAACCTGAACCAGTATGCTATAGTACTGTGCCGCACAGAACAGGGCACTGCCACATCCAGCTCCAGTGTGGGCTCCCGACCCGGACAGCAGGATTATGTGGAATATGCAGGCCAGGTAAATATTTGTAACCCTTTCGCTGCTGGAGACCACAAACACAGTATAAAATAAAAGTCAAAATTGGGTCAAGAAAAAAAAAATGTATATCAAGCCTTAAAATTGTGCACACCCGTGAAAAACTTTGGTGCCCAAATTGTCCATAGGCATCACTTTAAAGCCTTTACCGTTCATCCGTTTAGAGTTAACCGTGAACGATTGCTCTAGAACAGGGGCGCCCACTATTTTTCGTCTGGAGATCTAATTTTCAAATGACGAGCTCATTGAGATCTACCAACGAAAAAACACCTGCATTCAGGGGCGGGAGGGGGCGTAGGCTGCGCAGGCAGGCCCCTCGCCCACAGTGCGATCGCCTGCATTAGTGCCTGTGTTCCAGTCCAGTGCGATCCGCAAAAATGCTGCGAGCACTATTTTTGCAGATCGCACTGGACCGGAATGCAGGCACTAATGTGCCTGTGTTCCGAGTGCGGGCGATCGCACTGTGGGCGATGCCATTGACTTCAATACAGCTCCACACCCCCTCCCGCACCAGAACGCAGGGAGTCGGCCTGCTTACACTCCAGTGCATTCCAGTACATTACAGGTCCCTGCGTCCTGTCCTTCAGTGGTGCTCGTGTGGCCGACGTTGCACATGGGGTGTCCTGCACCTTTCCATCTGCAGCGTCTGACACATTCAGCCGCACGAGCACCGCGGGAGCCTAGCCGTAGCCACCTCCTTTTGCGCCTGAGGCAAGGAAAAAATAATAAGTTTTTTTTAGGAGAGGACATGGCGATCTACCAGTGATCGCTACGCGATCGACTGGTAGATCGCGATCAACCTTGTGGGCACCCCTGCTCTAGAATTATTGCTCTCCTTCCAGAGTGCAATGGCACAGTCATTGTTTTTGTTTTCATTTGTATGTACTTTACAGCCACCAGAACCACATCCACAAGAAAGCTGGCAGCCGGGAGTAAAATTATAAACTAACTCCCAGCTACTATAGTGGCCAGGAGTCTGTTTACTGCCGCAGACTTAATAGTTGTGTCCGCAGCAGCAAAAGGGATGATAGGAAGCTAAACATTTTGTATTAGATTTATTTTAGATGCTTTTTAAGTTTATATCTTTTTAACCACCTGCTGTCCGGCCGTTGTAATTAAACAGCCGGACAGCGGCTTCTTGAATGCGGGTGGGCATTTTTAAACGTCCCATCCCGCCCCGCTCGTGCCCGCCGCTAGGCGGCACGCACGAGCGGGGAAATCAGCCTGGAATGTAGAGACGCCCGATCGCTTGTACTATGTGTGCGTGTGTGCGCCCCCCCTCCGTTGCAGCCGCTGCTGGCGATCCCGAGCTCCGATGTGCCTGGTGCGAGCCCAGGACCAGCACAGCAGCTCTGCGGCCTAAGATCAAACGGAGCTCAGTACACGAGCTCCGTTTGATCTCCTCCTCCTCTTTGGAATGCAGGCACTGATGTGTATTACATCAGTGCCTGCATTCAGTGTCACTCTCCGGTACAGAAACCGAAGAGAAGCTGGTGAAGCAGGTGTTTGCTTCATCAGCTTCTCTGGGGGTCCCTAGGTGACATTAGGGGTCTTAAAGACCCCTGATGTCTCCATAAAGAGGACCTGACACTGAAATCACAAAGGGGGCTTGTTAGTCCCCTATTTGATAGCAATAAAGCTAAGTGGAAAAAAAAAAGGTTTAAAAGAATTGGTAAAAAAAAAATTAAAAATTAAAAGTCACATATAAAGGTAATAAAAAAAATTTGAAACATTGTTTTAAGTTCCCCCCAAAAAACATGCGTCGAGTGCGCCTACGTGCGGAAATGACGATTGCATCCATTACGCCGCACATGTTACATATTGCCACGAACGTTGCAGTGAGAGCAATCATTTTAGGGCCATCAATCACTGATAACACTAAACCGATGAGCGGTAAAAGCTTTTAAAGCGTCGCCTAATTTTGGGTATGGCCGTTTTTTGCGTGTTCGCGGGCGCACGCAATTTTAAAGCTTGACATGTTTGGTGTCTATTTACCAGACGTGACCCCATCTTTTATATTTTGCCAAAAATGTGGGTCATAATAATTGTTTTATAACATAACGTAGGGAAAACAGTTTTTTTTTCGAAATTTTCGGTACTTTTTCATTATATAGTAAAGAATAAAACCCGCAGTGGTGATTAAATACCACCAAAATAAAGCTCTATCTGTCACCAAAATATGGTATAAAGTTCATTCATTTCAGTACAGCGTTTCATGACGGAATAAATGTCAGTCAAAATACCGCAGCGCTGAATACTGAAAAATGGCCTGGACAGGAAGGGGGTGTAAACACCCCGGTCAGCAAGTGGGTAAACTGTTGTTTTACAGCATTTTATTTTTAGTATTGATATGCAATCTTTGTTCTACAAATAAGCATTTAATACATGAATAAAGGTTTGAGACTATGGATTATCTAAAAAGACAAACACAGCAAAGCAGAGGTGCTTCCTTTTTAGCTCTTATTGTGTGAATGAAACCTTGAACTTAGTCATATATAAGCATTTCACTGCTCTGGCTGTAAAAAGCAGTCTACTATCAGCTGAAAAGAAATCATGCTAATGATGTTAAAAGGAGCATAGAGCTCCTCCAGTTTGCCAGATATAAAATGGCACAATTTGTTTTACAGTTTTTTATATATTTTTTGGCTTGATCAAGAAATAATTTGCTGCAACAAATTACTGAAATTATCATTCAGTTTCATCATGCAGCTTGCTTAGCTTCCGCCTAAAATAGGCAATTGTGACAATATGCAGGCAATAAACAGGAAGTTGTTACAATAAGGTGACAAGAAACAAACAAAAGTGGCATTATGCAGGCAATCCTTTTACTACGTGGACAACAAACATGAAATAGTTACAGTACATGAGCAACGAATAGGCAAATGTTACAAAACTCCAAGATTATTTAATATCTACAGTCATGTACCCAGCTAATCTGGGAGGGGGATCATTATTTGGGACAAGAATAGGTCCAGATTACAAAAAAGGAGCTGTTTTAATCAGTAGCCATTGTGAGAATTAGCGTATTTTGCGCTCCATAAGGCGCACCAGTACATAAGACGCAGGCCGTTTCTGTCACAGTTTCCGTGACAGAAGCTGCAGTTAGTGACCGCTGAGACAGGTGGCGCTGTGATTACAGTGCCACGGTCTCAGTGATCACACAGAGCAGATGAAGAACTGCCATTCTTCGTCTGCTCTAGGGGCTCTATGGTGAGCTCCTATCCCCTATCCCGTGGTCACGGGTCCCCCAGAGGAGCGGGGGACCCGAAAGCCACAACGGGGGGGGGGTTGCTGCTGATCGGTTTTAATACATGTGATCTGGATAGATCACTTGTATTAAACGAGCAGTGGCTTCCACTGTACGTTTAGCTCTGCTTTAGCAGGGCTAAATGTACAAAGAAATAGGGATTCGCTCCATAAGATGCACACACATTTTCCTCCGCCTTTGGGGGGGAAAAAGTGTGTCTTATGGAGCGAAAAATACGGTAGCTTAAAATGGTAGCGCATTAAGGACACTTCCAGTCGCTTACTTCTTTTAAGGGCTTCTTTGCCCACTTTTATTGATTCAAACTCAAAAAAAGCCCCCACCAGTTTTCCCTCACAGTGGTTTCCAAACATAAAGTACCCACAGTACTGGCAACCAAAACACAGATAAAGCTTCTTGGCTTTTACCTTCAGCGTTTTGCCTCCTTGACCCACTGGTCCTCTTTGTTTGTTTCCAAGACTAGTCCCAACTGTTTCTCTCACAGTCACACAGGCTGGTCCTCACCACAAAGGTGTTTTGCCACACAGGGTGGAACCCTCCAGACCCCTACACTGCGACCTCCTCTATCTCCCAGGTGGACCCGCTCACTTAGAAGGCTGGGATATCTTATAGAGGCCCTAATGAGCCAGCTTTCTTCAGCTGGGCTTGTTACTTCTAAGGCTAGACACACACATTACAGCCATCGTAAGACTATGTGTCTTGCGATGGTTGTAAGGTACTTAAAAAAACGTATGATCTGCCTATCTTGGACAGGCAGATCGTACTTGCGATGATCGCAAGCCGCGCCCCCCGAGGGGCGGGCTTCCGATGTCCGCAATGGCGAACGGGCAGTGTGCGCTTGCGCACACCTGCACGTCCGGCTTTTATCGTACGAACATGCTACACACCCGCCGAACATCGTACGATGCTTGGCGGGTTTTCGAACAGGTTCGTAAGTTAAAAGTCGTGCGACCTTACAGTAGTAGAGGTCGCATGGCTTCCACACACCTTATGGTAATCGTACGATCACGGGATTTCCCATAGTGCACCATAGTGCAGCCCATCTGTCTGATTTCTTACCTCCCTTCCAATTCCATTGATCTTCTTTGTGCAACTCTGCCAAGTGTCAAACAGCCTTTGCCAGGTGCTTTTCCTACTGCGCATGTGCTGTGGCCCAATTCATTTTTATGTGTGAGTCGCACTCTGCTGAATGGCTGGAGTCCACCATGAGCATGGCTCATCTACAGTAATATAGTATAGTATATAGCAGATCAGGAGGAAACACAAGCAAGGCAACTGGTTAAAGGGTGAGGTATCTAACTGTAAAAGAGTTGGTATTATAAATCCCTCCAGCCATTAGATGCAAATGTGGGTTAAAGGAGAACTATGGGGTTAAGGCTCTTCACCATAATTCTCCTTAGGGTAACGGGAGGACACAAACTAGCGTCCTCCCGTCACCCTAAGCTCAGTATACCGCGAGCTACAGCTCGCTGTATACTGAGACGCCGCAGCTGAAGCGGACCCCGACAATTATGTCTGGATCTGCCCTGCTGCGAGAGTGACAGCTGGCTCTGCCTATCTAGAGGCAGAGCCAGCTGTACCCGCCCCCTCACCCGTATCCAGCCCCTCCCCTGTCACGGCAGAGAGCTGTGACAGGATCAAGAGGTGAGCGAACGCCGGTATGTGTTCGCTCACCTCCTGATCTACTGAGCCGACCTGTGACAGTCTCATTGTGAAAAGCACTCACCTCATAGTTCTCCTTTAAGGACAGAGACAGGAAGACACCTGATGATGGCTACTGAAACCACAGGCTGCTACGTGTTGGAGCATAGTCACCAGCTGGTGAAAAAGGAACAGTAGGTTCATGACATGATTGTCAAGTAAACACAGCTTCCCTATATTTACTAACCTAATTGAATGTTCGCTTGGTTAAATGAACAGACTTTACTCCTTTACTAAATCAGCTCCCATGCGTAATTATTTATTTCATTTGGTGTTCATGAAATAATAACACTCACTGGCCACTGGTATCTCATCTCTTAATTAACAGTTGTGCTCTTTGCTAACATTGACCTTCAGTTTATGTTGCAGTACAGCAGTGTTTCTCTTTTACATTTCATTTCTAAAGTGTCTGTACTTTGTCTCCTATGTAATTTTCTTTTTTCCGTGCTATATCAGTGACCGAAAACTAGGCAGTAGATTGCTTAGGAAAAATAATAAAGATTTTTGTGTGGGTGTAAATTAGAAGAGTTAACAATAGTAGTGAGATTGCAATGACATGTAAGAACAGGATGAGATCATTGAAGTGCCTCTGCTGTCTCTCAGCAGTGAATATTCCAAATACAGTAAAATAAATCTACTATGTTAATACAGACTGACATATCTAGTATGTTTAATCCCATCAGGTGCAATTTGATGAGCGAGAGGACAGCAAGGCCTGCACCATTATCATCAGCGATGACCAGGTTTACGAGGGCATTGAACGTTTCACAGTGGAACTAAGTATGCCAGCCTATGCACTTCTGGGACAGATCACTAAAGCCACTGTTAACATTAATGACACAGAGGACGTGCCCACTCTACAGTTTGATAAGAAGATATATCGGGCCAGTGAGAGTGCAAATGTCCTGTCTGCGCCTATTGAGAGGAAAGGTTTGTTAACTTTGCTGCTAATAACATAATAATTATTCTTTGTGGTTTGTAAATATAAGAAATCTATATCATACCTGTAAACATACAAATCATTAGACAGGTCTTAGTATGTGAATAGCAGGCATTTATTTATTTTGTAGCATGACTTATTGGCACTATCACTTTAGCAGTAAATTTGGATTTAAAGAGTAACTGTATCATTTCAACAAACAGCAATAGCAACTTTACCAGTTTTAGATGCAGCAGACATACAATGATCATATTAATAGTGTGCATCAGAATAATATACCCGATTGAATGCTGGACAGTTGTCCCATAGAACCTGCCTGTATAAAATGAAAGGACCTGCCACTGCTGACTTTTTAAAAGGTGCAACATCTGAAGCTGTCCTCTTCATCCTTGCTTCACTACTGAGTCACTGACCCAGAAAAAGTTAAATAGTAACTTTCAACCCATTATGGGTGACTCCGTTTACTGCTCCCTAATTTTCCTGACAGGTTCCCTGTAGTGAGGAATATTATGTTTATTTATATTTATTATTGCAGTGTTTACCTAAAATAATTTTGATATGCATTTTACACAGTTGTTGTTTTATATTTTTGTTACAGGAAAAATGGTTATTGAAATATAACGGAACGTTTAGTACAATTATCCTTTTATGTCCGTCAACACCAGCATAAAGTATTTGTGAGAACTCCCTTAGGTGGCTAGTCTTCAAATCACTACATAAAAAGAATAATCATAATTTAAGTACTACAGTTATTCGCTATAAGTCCCCATAAACCCCACCAAGTCTTACACTTACCTATCCCCACTTCTCCAAAATCCTTACTGCTGGGCACCACACAATCCTACAAAAGTCTCTTGGCTGGGCCCTGCTTCTTCTGCATGTTCCACAACCAGAAATAGATCTTCATTAAAGGTGGATGGCCTTTCCGTATGAATGAATGGGGATTTCAGTTGCACATCTGAGAAAAAGCACAGCCTGTTTTTTGTTTGTTTTTTATTTACTTAAAATACTACACTTGCAGACTGCTCTTTACTTAACTCTTAGGCTGGGTTCACACCTGGGCGTACGGAATATGCGCGTTTCGTGCCGCGCGTTTTTATCCCCATTTTGCGGTAAAAGAAACGCGTGTCGAACGCGTGTTTCCGAGGGCTATCCGGCTGTATCCTAATGGACAAGCAAAACAAATGACAAACACACTCAACAATTTGTCACCAGCTATACAGTAAGGTGCACACGAATGGATACGCATATCCTAATGGATACGCGCAGACAATACGCCCCAAAGAAGCTCCTGTACTTCTTTGGGCGTAGGGCGTTTTTCAGTGCGTTCCTACGCCCATAGGCAATTATTGGTTTTCACATGTTGAGCGTTTTACAGCGCGTAGGAACGCGCTGTAAAACACCCAGGTGTGAACCAGGCCTTAAAGTGGACCTTTACCCCCATTCATTAAAAATCACATTAGCATGCAGCTCTGCATGCTGATTTAAAATCGTCTTACAATCATTAGTTAATCTTCTTGGCGGTATTCCCGAGTGTGGCTCAGGGTTAATTTTCTGTACCATAAGCGGTAACCCCGAGCCACACTTGGGAATACACAGCGCCACGCTGTGTCCTCCGGCCGATGCTGGCATCCGGGTTCCGTCCCTTGCGAGCATCCGTGTCCCAGGGGGGGCGAAACTGGAGATTCAAAAGTTTAAAAAAAAGAAAACACAGAACCAAAAAAGGAAAAAAAAAAAGAAAAAATCATACCGCCAGGGAGGCTAAACAAACATGTTTTTAATTTGCTTACAAATAGAGTTTATCTACTTCTCGGTCCACTTTGGCACAAATGATGTAATGTACCAAAGCCTTGAATCCTGGGAAGATTACATCAGAAGTGCATTGCTGGGAAACCTCATCTGTTATCTCATGAGATCACAGGGAAAGGCATGGTCACATATTTTAGTCACATGTGCCAGAGTTCCACAAAGTAAAGGGAGCGCTAGTAACCTGGCCTTAGTTAACATGGCCACTGTCAGAAGACTGGGGAAGAAAAGAGGTATGCAAAGAATACAAAGCCGGCAATTATCTAGAAGTATGTGTGTGTAGATTGTCATTACTCAACATTTCTAAAGGTATTTTTGTTGTTATTTTAAAGATATGGGTAAAGGTCCGCTTTAACTTAGCTAAAGAATTCTGCTCTACTTGCTTTTCCCAGCATACAGTTGGAAAACTCTGCTCGCCAGATGCCCTCTAGTGGATAGTTGAAAGAATGGCATGCTAATCTGTAAAGACTACTAAATTGTTCTGCGTACAATTATAGCATGCTAGACAGCAATAATATGCATTTTAAGATAAAAAATGAGTTACTGTGTGTATATAAGACATTATTTGAAGCATATTTGTAGGCATGACAGTAAGCAATTGAGCAATTTAAGCACAACACAATCAATATGAATGCAGACATGAAGGAAATTCTGACGACACAGCATAACTGCAGTGTACATTAGTCTATAAGACATTGCTTTACCTTTGAATTAAAATTACAAACAGCTTGATGTACATATTTTGTACATTTGTTTCATATTTCCCAGCCAGATAATTCATAAGTGATCGGGGCTTGTGCCAGTATCATTCAAGGAAACCAGTGATGTACAATGTCTTCAGTAATATCCACTTATAGTCATTATTGTGTGCTGAACAGAAGTCTGTAAGATTCCCTATTCAATTACTGCTCTTCAACATTGCTTAAAATATCAGCATTGCAGGTGTACAAAATGCAACTACTTTCAAGATCAGCACTTTTGTGCTTTAGGTTTATACTTTTTAGAGATGTAATATTAGCATATATTGGGAAGTGAAGTGCAATAACAGCAGTCATTCAGATATTGGCTTTCAGCAGTTTAGTCCAGTTTTAAAATATTGGGCTTTTGCCATAAAGGCACTAATGGAAATCCTTTAGATTTTGGTTATACTGTACACAGAAAACCCCAGATATGTGATGGGTGGACAATTGTCAGAATGTTTACTCTGATAAAAGTAACTCTTGGAATGCTGTCAAAAAGCAAAATATTGGAATTAGACTGCTGTCTATGAATGACCAGCTGTTCAGGAGTAAAAAACACAATATTTGATCCTCTTTATATTTCCTTATCGTTTGCTAAATGAAAATATAGCATTAACTAAGAAAATCCCACAGCAATAAGTGTATTTTTTTTAGTAAGCAAGCACTGGTGATCCTAGATAGATCACTAACCTGTTACGTGTTACAAAAGTGCTGCGTTACAGTTCAGAAGTTCAGTAAGTGCATTTAAGGTATTTTTTTTCTTAGTGTATGCATATGTATGTGCAACAGTAACCAGTGGATTGCAAAAATGAAGCAATCTCAAGGAAGTCTAATTATGTGCAAGTCCTTCTTAAGAGACAATTATGTGTATAATTCTCTTGCCAGCACACGTGAGAAACATAATTATGTGCAGTGGATTTGCAAGTTGTATGTCCACCACCGTATAACCAGACACTTTGTGTATCCCAAATAGAATGCAGCTCACCCTATACACGAACCGCCATGCAGGGTTTGAGTGTGCTGTTCCCCTTTGATGAGGTGGGGATCTACCCTCAGTGGATTGCACTATCTAGAGTTCTCTCCTCTCTAGCCTATACACTTAAGGCTGTGTTTCCAAACTGCTCCATTTATTAGATAACAAAGATCAAGACATGCTTTACAGATAGCCCTAACTACTTCCTGCAATTTTCTGTATCTACCACAACTATCTAAAGTAACAATTAGAGTCTTGTCTATGCACCATTCTTCACATTTTGCCAATAAATAGTGCATTTCAGCTTTATAACAGAGACATCGGACTTAGAAAAAGGGCAGCTTGAAATTGATTTTCTGCTAGAGGCATCACTTTTTTTCCTGCAGTTTTTAAAATTAGTTTACTATTTGGAATTATTTTGTCAGTAGGTGATTATTGACATGCTAGAAAATAAGCCAGATTATGTTAAGAAGCTGCGTTTGAGGCCCATTTAGCCTTTTCATCAGACACAATTTCTAGCAGTACCATTACTCCTTACTACTGCAAATAAATCTCAAGAAATCTTTAATTGCAAGAAAAATTTTATTTCATTGGGCTCAAAACGAGTCCTGTAATTATTATTGATTGATATAGCACCATTTTCCATGGCACTGTGCTGTGTGAACTACATACCTACAGAGAATTTTACCATAGCTTATCTTAACATTAATCCTATATGTGTATTCTTTTCCATTCATCTAGAGGATGAACAGTTGATTATTTTGCTGTATACTATAGTAACTTGAAAAAACAAGTTCATTAAATTAAAATTAGGGGTCTATTTATATTTTTTTCACACAAGATGCATACAACCTTCATCCAGGTTTCACACATTTAGTTACAAACATTTGTGAATCTTGGGTGAAAGCTGTGTGTTAAAATTAGGGTTCTATTTATATGTTTTAACACAAGATGCATACAGCCTTGATCCAGGTTTCACACATTCAGTTAGAAAAATGTGTGTATCTTGGGTGAAAGCTGTGTCATGCTCAGGTGAAAACAATTAATATTAGACCCCTTTGTGCCTGAGCTTCTGGCAAACATTTTTGTTCATTTTTTTGTAAAGTGTGCTGCTTCTATCTAAACAAGGGGTAGACACACCCCTTCCCTAAATCATGTGACTCCCTAAATGCATGGAGTCCATTGGTCTCCCAGCTTTTACTTTTTTGTCAGTCTGCTGCTTGCTAAACTCTTACTGACCCCTTAAAGTTACCCTTGTCCCACATATTTGGGGGGCTGAACAGTAGTATTATTTTTAGCCTAGTCAGTATCAGTTTACTCAAGGGTGTCTCCTCCATAGACAACAAGACCAGTTGATTTTAAAATGAGTGCAATTCATTTTATTTATTAATAGTAGTAAAACCAATATCAGCATGATTGCCTCAGGGCTTGCACCTTTATAAACAAACTAGCAATGAGTCACTTCCATACC